GCTGATAGGGAGGCACATAGAGTGTGGGGCTGGAGTGGAGGGGCGGCTCCAGGGCTTAAACCTGAGCCAGGACTTCCAACAGGACACAGAATAGAAGAAAAAGGGAAGAGAAGGAAGTTCTGAGGGCAGGCTGTGGAGAGGAGGCAGAGGGCAGGGCGCTGTAGGGAGGGCAGGGAGGGAGAACTGAGAGAGGAATTCCAGAGGAGGCAGAGGTCAAGAGGTTCAGCAGAGGGGCAGGCTGAGTTGGCACTGAGGTCATTGGTGACCTTTACAGGAGCTCCTTTAGAGAAGTGCAGAGCTCAGAAGTCAGGAGTGAGCATATTAGGAGAGGCAGCAGGGGAAGCTTGTTCTTTCAGGGTCCTCAGCATGGGAGAAGAGCAATAGGTGTGGAATAGGGATGAAGGATTTTCTTAGGCAATGGAGACATTAAGTGGATTTGTGGAAATAGCTGAGGAGGGCAGAAATGACAGGTGTGAGCTACTGAAGTGAGTGGTCCTTGCAGGCAAACACGCAGGCAAGGCCCAGAATTTAGCCAATGTCTTGTCTTTCTCTGCTGCCTGCTCTGCCCATCTCTGGGGCCCTGCGTCACCTTCCAGGACATGGGCTCCAGAGTGAGTGAGACTGACAGCAAGAGCAGAGACAGCAAGACCCCAGGTGCAAGGGGTCCACAGACACCTTTGGGTCTTGTCTGTAGAAATGCAGGAGGCAGTGGAAGGAGATGGCACAGCACAGGAATCGGGGGCTGTCTCACAGCAGCGCTGGCTCAGCCACCCCACGAGTGACAGCCACCGTGGACTCAAGCAGGAGAAGCCGGCAGCGGGTGAGTCTTGGAGACAGGCTCTGGGCCTTCCTGCAGGTCAGCATTCCTCACTCCTACTGCTGATTAGGCCACAGCCGTGACCCTTACCCCTCTCTGCCTTTGTAAAAGAGCCTCGTGAAGTGAGGTAGCTCCATTTTCTGCCTAATGGCTACTCCCACCCCTACTTTATTTGACGTGGGTTTCCAGAGTAAGGCTAGATTTTTGTGTCTGTGTCTTCTTCTGTCTCATGGGGAGACCCTAATATTAATCACAGATCTTTTCTTTTTAAAAAAGATTTATTTATTTATGCATACAGAACTGGCGTACAGGACAGGGGTGCAGGGGCGGTGAGAAGATTCACCAGAGACAGAGTGGGAGCAGAACAGGCAGATCAAGTAAGCACACTACTGAGGGGAGCAGCGGTTGATTCAGGAGAGGTCTGCTGCGCCATGCGGGTCACCTCTGGGGCGGGGATTGAATTCATGCTGAAGGGGCTTTAGCTTCTTAGTGCTGTGCTTTAACCCGCTGCACTACCAGGGAGGGCCCTAATCACAGAGAGTTTTTAGGAAATAGTTCTGTCCTTAGGAGAGCAAGGAACTGTGGGAATACTGTGCCAGACACATAATAGGGGGAGGGACCCCACATGTCCAGAGGCCCTCTCGACCCTCCCTACGTATAACTTTGAACTTAAAACGAACAGGGCTGCAGATGAGCATATGTGATAAAAACCAAAACAGAACGAACTGTCTTCCTACTGCCCCCAACCCCACACCATCTTGGCACCACACCATACCGGTCTGGTAGAACTTAGCTGGTCAGTGGTGGAACGGTGAATGCAAAGGTCCATGAATCCAAGACAAGTGCTCTCCAGTAGCTACCCTTGTTCAATGGCTCAGGCAGTGTGCTGGGCCCAGTAGGAGACACAGCATCAGCTAAGTCCAGGGTAGGGTGTTAGGCACCTCTGCCGCGTGGGCGGGCAGGCCATGTCAGGGCTAGGACAGTCGTGGTTGGAAAAAAGCATGTTTTTGGAGAAAGGCTGAAAACCTTTCCCTTTATACTCTATTCAACACCAATATCACCAAGTTATATACACACCATGAGCTAATTCTATTTTTTCCTGTTTTTTTTTTTTTTTTTATCTAGGTGGTAAGTATCTGTGTTTGTGGTCAACAGACGAGGTGAGCAGCACTTGGCTGGTTAATGGTGGAATTGTGAATTCAAAAGGTCTCCACCCTGCAGCTCTGCTGCTTCCCCTTTCTGAGTGGAGCTTGGCTCCCTACTGGGTTAGGGCAAAGTGAGGCCATCTTCAAAACTTCAACATTCAGGAACTTTACGTAAGACCTGGTGGAACCAGCAAATAATTGTAAGCTTCAGGTCCACCCAACGCGAGAGAATCATACTTCTGCTGCTGGGTCCTCATGCTGCTCCCTGGTTGGACACTGTGGTCAAGGCACCAGGCTATGGCATTTGGGTTGTCAGCTGTCTCTAAGCAGGCCTTCTGGAGAGGTCTAGGACCAGAGCTGGCCACTGTGTTCTAAGCTCCAGGAATGGCTCCTTCATCATTATGTCCACTTGCTGCTAGATACAGTATTGTTGGAAAGGCTAGAGGAGCCCCTTAGAGCAAGGTCCATACCACCAAACTGGCTTCCAAGGGAAGCTCCACACACCCTCCCTGTAAGGAAAGTCACCGAAGCTATGGCACAGGCATCAGAGGTGGCCACCACCCCTGCTGTCATCCCTACAGCTCAGCTGCTCTCAATCCCCATGAACGCGGGGCACAGACATGGCAATGCTGTGGCAGTTGCAGTACTGCCTCCTCTCCCCCACTGCTCCTAGCACAAGTGTCTCTGCCCTTCTGGGCAGCAGCAAATATCAAAGCAGCAAAATGACCTCTCCTTCTCCTCCTTGCCTGCCAGATCTCTCCAATTCATCTAAGCTGCAGAATATAACTCTTATCTCGACTCCCAGCTCCAAGGGAGTCTACAGAACATGGTTTTAAGTTTTCTGGCCTCTAGTATAAGAAGGAGTTTGGGATAGTGCTGAATTCCAAATTGCCATTATTTGCCATACATGGGGAGAAAAAAATATTGAATGCAGATGATAAATATTCCCAAGATAATGGTTGTGGCTTAACATCAATGAAAATTTTTAAAAATCTTATATTTCTGAAGATTGTTTACATTTGCTTACATTAACCAACCAAAAGGTGATTCTTCCCACCAATATCACCAATGCAAAGTTCAGAAGTTTTCCCATGCAGTAGATGGTATCTTAAAAAGAATGATTTTTATTCTTTTCATTTTTTAAATTGTAGAAATAATGTAAGTATCATTTAGGCCTGAAAACAGTGTAAAAATCACCTGTCATCCTACATCCCCGTCATGATAACCACATCACGCTACAGGTGCATATTGACATCTTTCTAATGTGGACAGAACTTTTATTTTTTATCTAGTATTACAGCATAATAATTTCCTATGTTGTTACCAAACACAACCATGGTATTTAATAGCCCATAAGTTTTCCTGAATCCATGTGTCATAATTCACTTAGTCATTCCTTTAGTTGAACATTTGGGTTGTTTACCACTACACATGACTATAAACAATGCTTTGAAGAAGAACTTTGTACATATGCAGGCTTTTGTGTCACACTGCCAGAAGTGGGAGGATGAAATAATATGTACTTGCCAGAGGGTATTCCATGTTTACATGAGTGTCAACTGCTTTTGATCAATGGGCCTTAAAAATCACCACTGGCAAAAAAAAACATGGAGCTTTTTTCCCAGCAATCACTAAACACAGAGCTTACAACAACTGGCCGCTATGACAGTGGGACATGGCGTCTGTGGGCTTGAAGTCTCTGTTACAGCACTCACAGCCTGCATCTCGGGTCCCTGGGAGCTGGTTGCGGCGGCTTGAACCTTGGGACCGGCTGAGTGCAGAGAGTGGGTGCCACGTCTTGAGGGCTCCACATCTTGAGGGCTCCACCCTTTCATATCTCAAGGCCCAGCTGGCCAGAGCCTTTGCTGGCTAAGTTGTCCCATGTGGTAGAAGCTGATCAGCTAGGGCCAAGCCTTAAGCCCCGGAACATCCACATTTCAACTTGCAAGTGCCATGCTCTCACAGAGACTTGCACAAACATAAGGACTTCCTTTTACTTTTTGTATTATTTTACATAGAACTGTGGTCTGGGCCAGAGGTGCAGGATTGCGTGGGTGAGAAGATTCACCATCGTGGGGAGCAGAACAGGTGGATTGACTGAAATACACTGCTAAGGGGAGCCACGGGGGAGATAGGTCTGCTGCGCCATGTGTGTCATCTCCCTGGTGGCCATTGACCGAGGCCACAGTACCAGGCCCTAAGACCTAGGTCGCTAGGGAAACCCTTCTTTACTTTTTGATTCATCACTTTCCCCCCAGATTAGCAAGCCAATTTAGGTTAAAATAAAGCAGACTGGGCTGCACTAAGGTGCCAGCTTGGGACGATTCTGAGGAGACAAGTTTTAAACAGGCAGATGACTTGCTACAACACTGTGCCCTCAGCCATTTTGTACTAAAGTGGTCTTGGCCTCTGAAGACCTCTCAGACATATTTACCCCAGGGAAAATGTGTTGGAGGTGTTACACAGAAGAGCTCCACACTGGTCAGTTCAGGCCAAGATGGATGCAGGCCCTTCCACAGTATATGCCTTTGCGTTACACAAAAGGAGGTGCACCCCTGGTGCCCCCAATTCTAGAACTCCCCTGTATTCCCGCAGATGCCTTCCATTTGAATCTAGCTACCATAAACTCTCCTTAAATGGCACTTTCCCAGTGCAGGCCTTAGGAATGTCAAAGCTTACGGAGCAACCAATATTGGTTGCAAAACCCGTGCTCTGGGAAGGGGTTTCCCCTGAACCGCTCTTCCTGATCCCCCTCCGGTTCTAGGTACATCCCTCCTGCAGCCTGGCTCACCCTCCCCACCGACCGCTCCCGAGCCTGTCCCAGCCAGGCAGCACCACCCTCCAGGTAGTACAACTTCCCGGGACACCTCTCGCCCCCGTCCGGTTGCTTGGAAATTTACACAGGACGGTGACGTCACACAGGGAGGCGGGTCCCCACTGTCCCGCACACCAATGGCGCGGCGGCCGCCAAACTCTTCTTTTCCTGTGATTGGTGTCTCGGGCCCCTCTGCTCCACCCCAGCCCGCCATGGCGTCAGGCGCCGCAGCACCGGGGAGGTGGGTCCCACTTTAAGAAGTGAAGTTTTTCGCCCCCTCCCCCTCCCTACCCACCTCCTGCAGCCTCCCGCGCCCCGCGGAGCTGGCGGATGGAGCTACGCTGCGGCGGCGTAGGGAGCCAGGCTGTGGGTTGCAGGATGGATGGGGACAGCCGAGATGGCGGCGGTGGCAGCGGCTGCAGGGACGCCGGGTCGGAGGACTACGAGAACCTGCCGACCAGCGCCTCCTTATACACCCACATGACAGCCGGAGCGATGGCCGGGATCTTGGAGCACTCGGTCATGTACCCGGTAGACTCCGTGAAGGTGAGGCGCGTGGAGCCTAAAGTTAGGGACTGGGCGAACAGAGGGGAGAGCGCGTTCGCGCGCGATTGCAGCCCACTCTACAGCAGCGTGGGGCAGCGCTCAGAAACCACGCGCTCCCCGTGGCCACGGCTGGCGTGGGTTGAGCGTCCGGGGTCTCTCGGGGGGTTGGCGCGCGCAGCCTGGGTGCCCGGGAATGCGCTGCGCAGCTCCTTCCGCCGCGCGCCTTGGCCCCGGGGCTCCCCCAAACCCGCGAGGATGCCGCAGCCGGCGCTGGGCACCGCGGTTCCCGCCGCCTTCGACTGCTGGTTGCTTGGCGGCGCAGCGATCGGGCAGACGAGGCAAGTGCCACCGGTCGCCGTGGCGGCGGCGGGTTCCCCGAGGGAGGCGGTGGGTGCAGCTTAGACAGTCTGCCCGCGCGATCCGTAGGTTTTGGATCTCGAGTTGTCGTGGCTCCCGCTGCGGCTCGCGGTATGCAAACCGGGAGGGTAGTCCGCGGGCGGGTGTGGGTGGCCTAGGCAGAACGCACGTGCGGGCTTTCTGAGGAGCTGCCGCCGCCACGGCTGCTCGCCCAGCTCACGCGGAGAAATGGCCCCCAGCGGGCCCGGCGCTCGTCTGCCCTGGCGTGTGTGTGTGTGTGTGTGTGTGTGTGTGTGTTTGTGTGTGTGTGTGTTCTGCTCCCGGGCTTTTTGGGGGGGTCGGGGGGGGCGCTTATGACAACAGCAGTGTTTCTGCTGGTTTGGGCAGCGCTCTTGGTGGTACCGGCTTCATCGAAGCCCTGTGTGTCCTCAGGGTTTCGGTACCTTTTCCCCTCAAATTCGGCCGCTGAGGGGCAGCGAGTCTTGTAGTGACACTCGCTGGTGTTTTCTGTTGTGGTGAGATGGCAGGAGGCGAGTCTGCGCTCTACACCCTTTTCCTGGGTTGTGTAACAGGCGCTCAGCTTGCCTACACATCCCGGATAGTTTTAAATGCTTTTCTGTATAGGGAGGCAACTTTAACCAGGCAGCTCTATTCTCTCTCTCTGACTTCTGGACTGAGAACTGTCAGCCTGTTCATGTCATGGAATGACCAGGGTGCTGGGGAGTGATGCTCATCCCACACATTGCAATTTGTAGGCTAACTCCAGTTACAGGCAGCCCTGGGTTTACCAGATGAGGAAGCTGCAGCTCAGACAGGTGAACTGAACAAGCTGCTCTGGGCCACAACCCCCAGTATTCTCTGTATCCAGCTCCAGGGTGCTTGGAAGATTTGAGGCCATTATCTTGGGGGCCACAGAGCCCGCCACCAGCACTGTACCCTGTTGCTCATGCTGGCCCCACATGCCCAGTGAAGGCCAGAATGTGGGACTTTGTGTTTTCCCAGCCCTGGGGAGCTCTGCCGGACTGGCCGTCAGTGGCTGGACAGGCACAGTTCCTGAGGGAGAGGAAGAGTGCAGCCTGAGTCTTCAGTTGTGCTGCTGGGCCTGGGCCATCAGCGCTTCTGTCCTGCCAGCGTCCCACTGGGGAACCAGAGGAATAGTCCTTATCAGCTACAGTTCTGGAGGTCCCTGGGGAGATGGAGTTTCTTGGGTTTTCAAAGCTCCTCTGGGGAAGACCCTGAACAGATACCAGGTGCTATTTGTTTAGGGAAGAATCCCTCACATGTAGTAAAATTCCTTGGTTTTTGAAGTTGTTGTCTCAAGAGTGTGGGGAAAGTTAGGCACAGGGAGATGTCATTTGAGCCCACTGGGTTAGGGAGATGAATGTTCCGTCAAGAATGATACCATGTCTGAGGCTCTTGGCCTCTCTGCTGAGAGTTTAGTTCAGAACATCATTCTGGCTTCCCTTTAGAAATCATTAGTCATGCTTTCTGAGCTGCCCCAGACACTGTGAAGAGGCATTCATCTCACATCTTTAAATTATGTGATCAGTGTGTGTTTAGTGGTGTGTGTTTAGTTTCCTCCCTGCCCCTCCCGCTCTGTGCGCTCTGTGCTGGTATGTTTTGAAGCAGGCCTCACTGTGTACTTAGTATCCTCTTTCATACTTAGCCAGTTTCACCCCTGGGCACTTAACATGTGTGGCTCAGGGAGCTGTTCTGACCATCCTCCTCAAGCCGCCTACCTTACAGAATGCACTGTAAAATAAAGGCGTTGGGTCAGCTCATCGGTGAGATCCTACAGGTTCTGGGACCCTACATGTGACTTTGAATAATAGTAACTTACAGGTTTTCTTCTGTTTTTCTGCACTAGGGCTTGTTTTAGCAATACTTCTCATTTATTGTTACGACATTTTTGGGAAGGGTAGCAAGAATGATTCTTTTCCTTTTTAGCTGAGACCAAGGCACAGAGAGAGTTAATCCCCATTGCATTATCCCAAGGGGAGGCTGCAGCCCGGTGACAAGGTCTGCCAAGATCAGCACAGTTGTCTGTGCCCAGCAATAGATGTCAGCCCTGTCGCCATGGACAGGCTTTCCTTGGGCAGACCTCGGTGTGTTCTTTTCAAGCAGGCTGGGTGATGGGGTCCTGTGTAATGAGTCAGGAGTCCTGGAGGTGGGGGGTTCAGGCCCTTCTCCTCATATGCTTCCTTCCTTGGGCTTGTTCTATCACTCCTGAAATAGGTGCTGTGGACCACATAAGGGTTCCCAACTCCCACTTCAGTGTTAAACTCTTATCTTGTAAAATTAAACAAGAGTCTTGGGTGGACTTGCCTTTTCTAGCTCTTTAGTTCCAGCTGTGTGGCTCATAGAGCCCAGTGCTGGTCACGGTGAACACCGAGACTGGTCAGCTGCTAGGTTCTGTTGTCATAAGTATGGGAAGATGGTCACATATTAAATATACTGGTCTATGAGGTTCCATCCCACCACTTCGTTCCAAGTCTCCTTAAGAACCTGTACTTTTCAAAGTATGGGTTATATTGGACCCATTAGTGGGACCAATATTTAAAAAAAAAAAAAAAAGATTGGGGAGAGCACAGAATAGAAGCATGCCTGGCATGCAAGAAAGAAGTGTTGCTTCATGAAATTCTGTTTGGGTTCTGTGTGTCTGTGTGTTCCTTGGTCTGGCTGTGGGTCAGGGTTAGGACCAAAAAAGAATGAAAAACACTGAACCTTATGGTCACTCATATGAAGTTCCAGCAGCCAACGGCTTGTGGTTATTAAATGGGGATTTGCAAGGTCTTTGGCAATGTTGCTGTTCCTTTCTGCCTCTTCCTTCTTCACTTATGGCATGAGTGTTCCCAGCCCGTAACGGGCCAGGCTTCTGGGACCCGTGGCTGCAGGCTGCTCTGAGTTGGACCCCCGGCAGCGGGCCACAGAGGGAGCCCAGCCCTATAGGGTTTTTGCCACGTGATAGCAATGACTTATTCCTTCCCAACTGGGCTCTACTGCAGGTTTCCCACAGGCCTCCTGGTGCTCCATCATGGCCAGTGGTGTGCTCACCTAGCCTAGTGCTTGGGGTGGATATAAGAACCCCTGGTCTGGGAACTCTCCAGTCTGTGGGGAGCATGCCAGGTGGGTGGAGGAGGAAATTCCAACCAGATTAGGCACACCACTCACAGACCATGCGAGTCCGAGGTGGTGAAAGCAGGGGCAAAAGGAAACAGGAAAGATTTGAAGCGAGGGAACTTCCGCCGACCCTCTCACAGCCTCCTTCTCTGGTTGCTTGTCAGGGAAATGATCGCTGGGAGAACCCTCCTTCCCAGCCAGGGCACCGGGGGACCTGGAGCACCGCCGAGCTGACAGCCGTGGGTGTAAGGCTCGGCATCTGTCTGGGATGGCGGTGTTGGGCTGTTGCCAGCTCTGCTTGGCCCCCTTTCTGCAGCCCGGCTGACTCCAACCAGCTCCGCGGAGCCAGGCAGCTCCAGGGAGGCTTCTGAGTGGGCACCTCGTGGTCCCAGCGCTGCAGGCCGCCCGGTAGTCAGGTGCGCAGGTGAAGGCAGCTGCCGGAGTCATTGCCACCTACTGTCGTGGTTTAGAAACATTCGTTCCAGAAGGGCATACATTCCAGTGTAGTGCTTGTCGTCTCTTCTGTCTCTTTCTGGTCTCTCCCTTCTTTTCTGTTCTTTGTCACTGGGAGATGGTTGGCTTAAAGGGTGAACTGGGGAGGGGCATCTCTTGAATTTCTGTCCTTTGTCTATGAACTCCCAGTAGGCATGCTGATTCCGAGTGGGGGTGCTGGGCCTGACACTGGGTCCCCAGTCCCAGAGTTAGTACTTGGCCCCTGAGTGCTGGGGTCTCCTGCCTACTTGCCACTGACCCCCGCAAACCCCCCCCCAACCCCAGAAATGGAGGAGGGATACAAGGTGGCAGGGGCTGGAGGAGGGGACCTCTAAAATTATAGTGATCTGAAGGCCGCCCCAGCTCTTCAGGAGGGAGAGGAGGCTTTGATGGGGGGATTTCATTGACTGCATAGCTTTGACCACATGGGTTTGTGCCCCTGGGAAGGGACTGGGTGACTCTGGGCACATTTTGGCAACCCGAGCCGGGCGCTCCAAGGGCTGTTCTTCCCGCCCTCTCTGGCGCAGTGGCAGCCAGGAGTCAGGCCGGACCGTTCCCTTATCCATACTTGGTTCTTGCTCTCCTTTCGACCTCCTCACGCACTGGGTGAACTGCCTGGCAGGTGAGCAGCCTCTGGAAGCCTCTGGAAGCCTCTCGAACCCCCAAACTCTCTGGCTCTTATATCACCCCAGTACCTGGCCTTTCTTGAAGAATTTTATTTTTGTTTGTTTTTAATCTTAAGCCAGCCGTCTGACCCCGCCGGGGCTGGCTGCAGACACTTCTGTGGCGCCCGTGTTTGCTGGGCTTTCCCTTGTGGGCGAGGCTGCCTCACCCAAGGCCGCCCTCCTGCCCTGCCGCCACCTTGCATCTCAGGCTGACATTTTTCATGGCTTGGGTGTAGCAAATAACCTCCTCTTCATTTAACCGTCAACCGGGCTATTTAACTTACTGGGTGTGCTGTACACTTGGCATTTCTGAGTTTTCATTTTCTGATCTGTAAATTGCAGATATTAATTTTCTTCCTGCGTTCT